ACACCTGAGGGAGCGGCACCCTGAGGGGGAAGGGGGTCTACCACTGCAGCACCTGGCGCGAGGAAGAGAGGCGGGGGAGGGAGCGGGGCAGTGCGGTAGAGGAAGAGGCGGTAGAAGGGCACGGACTCGTCAAAAGTGACGTCCTGAGAGGGGAAGACGCGGTGCGAGGCGGGGTGGTAAAACTGCCAGCCAGACGCATCCGGGACAAAGCCGAGAAAGACACAGGGAGCAGTGCGGGAGGAGAGCTTGTCCGCAGACGTGTCGCGAACAAAAGCTCGGGATCCCTAGACACGGAAGCGTGACGCATCGCCAACCTCCCCCGTCCACAGCAGTGTGGGCGAGGTCTCCGGAGCGGAGACACGGGGCCAGAGGTTGAGCTGATGCGCAGCGTACCGGACCGCAAACGGCCACAGAAAGTGGGGGGGCAGCCGCGTGGACTAAGGAGGTACGAGCGACCTCCATGACCAAGCCAATGCGGCGCTCAGCAACCCCATTCTGCTGTGGAGAGGCCGGAAGCGTGAACGACTGGCGAATGCCGTGCTCTGCACAGTAGGCTGCCAAGAGGTCGGAGGAGAACTCGCCACCTTTGTCAGAGTGCAAGCGCAGGACAGGAAACTCCGAGCGAAAACGCTCTCGCAGCTGAAGACGTGCTCTGCTGATCCAAGGGATCAGAACATCACGGACTTCACCCTTGGTGCGCAAGGGGAAGACCGTGGTGTAGCGTGAGTAGTCGTCAACGACGATCAAGAGGTACCTCTCCTGGCTCTGACCACGGACGCGGGCTGGGCCCCACACGTCCATGTGGAGCGTCTGCAAAGGAGCAGTCATCGGGGGGAACGAGGAGTGAGGGGCAGCGCGCTGCCGTCCCTCGACACAGGGAAGACAAGGAGGAGCAAGGGAGGGTGGGAGGGGAGGGAGTACCCGAGGAAGACCAGAGACAAGGTACCGGGAGTGCATGCCCCGAAGGCGCTGCACTGACGGGTGACCAAGTCGGTGGTGCTAGAGGACAGTCTTGTGCGCTAGAGAGCGACACGAGCAGGGGGCAGACAGCTGACCTGACGCAGACGCAGACGCAGACGCCGCTACCTGAGGGGACTCAGTGGTCAGTGTGTACAGGTCCGACCCCGGCTGCCGAGTGAAGGTAGCCAGGTGACAGCCCGTCCGAGCACACGTGCAGTGTGTCACGCGCTCGTAGGCAGGGGTGAACTGGTGAACACCCCCATCCTGAAACGCACAACCCGCCACCAAGTTCGTAGAGAACGAGGGGAGGTGGAGACCTGACAGTGTGCCCGACGGGACAGCAGGACAAGGAAGGACAGTGGAGGAGGTCGCAATGACCGGACCCCCAGAGGGGTCAGCGAGCGAGACAGCGACTGGTCGAGCAAGGGGCTCAAGAGCAGTGCGGTCACGAAAGAAACAGCGCGAAGCGCCTGAGTCTAGAGTGAAGGTGTGCAGTGCCTCAGTGGACTCAGTAGTACCTGGGGTGGCGGACACACAAGCACCTAGAGCAGTAGCCTCACTAGCACCTGGGGCAGCAGACACGCAAGCACCTAGGGCGGCAGCCTCACTCGTGCGGATGCCTTGGTCAGGCGGAACACACAGGTACTGGTCCTCCTCTCCACTAATAGTCAATGCATACATGGCTTTGAGAATAACATCAAAATGAAGAGCATAGATATCGATATCCTTCTTGAGGAGATCGGCCCACTGAGGGAGCTCAGGAGCGTCAGGAAACTGAGCACGCCACGCGTCATCTAGGCGAGAGAAGCAGCGCTGCGCAGTGTGCGCCCTCCCGCACGTCTGTCCCTTGCGGCGACCAGTGCGGATGACGTACGTGCAGCTAAGGCTACCCCCCCCACCCCCGTGCTGTAAGTACCACTCACGAAGCTCCTGGGAGGACTGAGGGTGCTGCGCGCTCTGGCCAGTGCCAGAGCCTCCACGACCACCACCGCCGCCTCCACCACGACCACCACCGCCCTTGCCGCCTCCACGTCCACTGCCGCCACCACCACCGCCCCCACCCCGGCCACCGCCGCCGCCGCTGCCTCCACCACCCCCACCGCTGCCACTAGCCCCTCCAGCCCCGCCACCACCCACACCGCCGCCACCACCCCCACCACCGCCTCCCCCGCCGTCACCCCCACCGCCCTTGCCTCCCTTGCCCTTGCCGCTGCGGCGCCCGCTGGGAGCGGACGCAGAGCCGACCTGCTCAGCACCAAGAAGGTCGACAGCAGCAGCAGAGGCGACAGAGGGGAGGAGGGGGGAGGGGGAACACCCCTCGAAGAACGGGGTGCGGGGGTCGCCACGAGAGGTACCTACAGCTACAATACTTTTCTCAGCTGCAAGTAGTTCCTTCTCTAGAGCGGTAATGGTGAGCTCAGTGGGGCAGCGAGCTAGGAAGTGGTCCCTGACTGTACGCAGAGTGTCAGGGAGGCGGGTGACTAGGTGGTAGAGAGTGAGCCAGAGCGGGGGAGGGTTGGAGGCAAGAAACTCAGCGGGCATGGCTGCACGGAAGCGGGCATCACTAGTGCGGAGGTGAGTGATGAGGTCAGCGACTGTCTGGAAGGCGGACAGGTCGGGGAACAGGTAGGGAAGCGAGAGGCGGCCTAGTGCAGCTGAGGCCGGGGAGGAGTAGCGCGCAACTACAGCAGTGTACAGGGCCTGCGCAGTCTGATGCTGGCCAAAGTGCTCGCGCTCGTCTACGGGCAGGGAGTTGCGAATAGCAAAGCGGGCGTGGGCATCGCGAGTCTGCCACTGTGAGCGAGCAGTAGCAGCAGCAGTAGTAGCAGGAGCAGGGACTGTGCCTAGTGCGTGATCGTACAGCGAGATATCCTCTCTGGCGGTGAGCTGGAGGAACAGATGCAGATCATCGAGCCAGGTCTCAAACTTAATCGGGCGGCCCTCAGTATCGAACGAGAGAACTTGAGGGCTAGCCATAGCTGAAGTAGCAGTAGCAGAAGTAGCAGTAGCAGTAGCAGCAGCAGCAGCAGCAGTAGCAGCAGCAGTAGCAGTAGAAGTAGCAGTAACAGTAGTAGTAGCAGTTCAGTACTGGTGCTGCTGCTCAGGTAAGGAGGGCGCGGCTCGGCTAGGACGGCGCGGCTCGGCTAGGGCGGCGCGGCTCGGCTAGGGCGGCGCGGCTCGGCTAGGGCGGCGCGGTTCGGGTCGGGTCGCGCAGCGCGGCTCGGCCGTAGAGGGGCGAGCGCGGGAGGGGCCGTGAGAGGCAAGCGCGGGGGGCCGTTCGGGGGCCGGTCGGGGCTAGCGCGAGGCCATTCGGGGCCGTAGGAGGCTAGCGCGGGGCCTTAAGGGGCCGTGGGAGGCTAGCGCGGGGCCTGAAGGGGCCGTGGGAGGCTAGCGCGGGGCCGTAGGTGGGCCGTTCGGGGCTAGCGCGGGGCCGTAGGGGGCCGTGAGAGGCTAGCGCGGGGCCGACGCGGGGCCTTAAGGGGCTAGCGCGGGGTCTTAAGACGGGGCCGGGAGAGGCCGTAAGGGGCGACGCGAGGGGCCGTGAGGGGCCTGAAGGGGCGACGCTAGGAACGAGGCGCACGAGGGCGCTAGGAAAAAGGCGGCGCACGAGGGCGCGGCTAGCGGAAACGGTGGGCCCTAACGTTCCGGTCCTAGGTGGAACCTAGGCTCGTAATACCATGTCAGAATGAGAAACAGGAATGGGTGTGACTAGCAGGAACAACAGTACAAATATGAAACCCTAACCTGGTGTACCCCTTATGGTGTGACCCACTACAGCCTAGAACCACACAAACATATAATGTTTGACACCTTCGGGGAGGGGTCATGCACGTTCCGGTCCCTACCAATGACAGCAGTTGATGGGCCGGGAATTTTACCGGCATGTGAGAGCTCGAACGTGGTGTGTGCGAGCGGAGTTTGCGAGGGAAATTTGGTTGTGCGATGTGGTGATTGGACCGTGTGACCCAACCCAACCAGGCGATAGGTTCGTTCAACCAATCGCCTAGCTGCTTATGCGCGCCTGTTTTCTGCCACCAACATGCCGTTATAGGTATTCGTGGCATCCGCAAAAACCGCCTGCCATCTACAGTGGTCCTGCCACCACCCAGGGATACGCCCTAACCTGCTTATGCATATCACCTCCAATGCGTCACACTTGGACATGTCCACTGCTTTCCCAGCACCCTTGCAGTACTAGCTTGCAACGAGTGAGAAGGAAACCCAAGTCATGAAGGTCTTACATCTGAAAACAAAAAGCTGACACTAAGGATCCGCACCAAGTTAAAGCCACAGTAGACTCACAGGAAGGTGAGTGCTGTGAGCTGAGAGAGGTCATCATTCAGCAATCGCCCCTGCCGGTGTGGATCGTCCGTTTCCAGGTTCCTGCGCACAATAAGATGTCGGCAAGAGTCTGCTTTTGAGGCACCTCAAAAGAAGGTTCCTGCGCACAAGAAGATGTCGGCAAGATGCAGCGCACTCAGAGCACCTCAATCCCAGCCATCGTCTTGCCAATGCTGGCACGTGTGGTCCTCCTCGTGCCTCATGGGGGATGTGGCGTGGCGTGTGTGTGACAATGGTGCGTGTGCGCACTCAGAGCATCTCAATCACAGCCATCGACATGGCTGGCACGTGTGGTCCTCCCCGTGCCTCGTGGGGGATGTGGCGTGTGACAATGAGTTGACTTTTGAGTCGACTCAAAAGTCAACAAAAATCGGCACACTTAGAGCAGCTCAATCATGCACAGCCATCGCCATGGCACGTGTGATCCTCTCCGTGCCTCGTGGGGGATGTGGCGTGTGACAATGGTGGAGGTGGAGAGCGAAATAGGAGGGTGAAGTGGGAGGGTGAAGTAGGAGGGTGAAGTAGGAGGAAAACTAAACCCGAAACCCTGGAGCTCACAGATACTGAAGGTTGGTAAGTCGAGTGACCCAAATGGGAAACTCCACGAAACGAAGGTCGGGTAGATCCCTGCAGCAGGGAGGAAAGCAAGAGCAGAGCAGAGCACGTCACGTAGACAAGCCAATGGAGGTGCAGTGCAGTCATGTCTGGCGAGGGGTTGGAACTGGGGATGGGGATGGGGATGGGGATGGGGATGGGGATGGGGATGGAGATGGGGATGGGGATGGGGATGGGGATGTGTTACTCGTGCACGAAGATGAGCGAATCCGTTTCACCTGTCCCATCGGACTTGAGTGGAGCTTACAGTGAAGTGAGGACAGTCATGTATTGAAGCTCTCTGGGTAACTCCCCTGTGGCGTTTCTGAGACTCCGGACTTTCCTGCGCTCATGCACATGCAATCAGCCATAATGAGCGAAACACCACTGCCAAGTGCGAGCTGGTATGGACCAAGCCACATGGTGACATGCAGAGTAAGAATAGGAGCAAGGAGCCGCGCCACCATTGTACCGTACCGTGCGTACGGTAACGGCCCCCATTCAGCAAGGAGCCGCGCCACCACTGTACCGAACGTTCGTGTATGGCAATGATGCTTACAGCTGATGTAGGCTTCTCAGGTGTGAAAGAAAGTGCAGGGAAGACAACTCCCCTGTGAGAAATGCCAAGTACTCTAGAGACCTGGTTGAAGAGAGAGAAGTGCGACACGGGAGAAGAGAGGCCATTGGGGGTGGTGTAGCGTAGGAGCATGGGGTGGGCACTGCTGCATTGCATGCTGAACAATGGTGTGAGCTTGCTGGACAATGGTGTGAGCTTGTTGGAAAATGGTGTGAGCTTGCTTGACAATGGTGTGAGCTTGCTGGACAATGGTGTGAGTTAGAACGGTGGGGCTGGACGGAAAGTGAAGGAGCTAAGGAAAGCATACGTGAAAAGGACAAGAAAACCGAAAACAAGTTGGCAAATGTTGAGAAGTACTTTGCCTCAGCCTAAAATGTCCAACCGCAACTGAATTTCCACGTGAGACGTCTCAAAACACTACTTCTTTCACGTGCCTAAAATGTCCAACCGCAATTGAACCATGTTTGGTACAAACGCAACAGGTCAGTTTTAGTTTCAGGGTTGGTTAGTGAATCCGGTTCCGCCGTACGGTACGTGGCTAAAAGCGGCAGACGCATTACACGAGGCTCCCGACTCCTTTTTAATTGCTTAAAATGTTTTGTTTGAGTCGAATCTCCTGTTTTGAACAACATGTAACTGAAAATTCAGAAACTTCTCCAGCCACATCTTTTGCCTCACGTCAGCTAAAGGCAATTGCTAAACTAAGACAGCAAGGATGGATGACAAAGCGGAAGAAGAGTGACAGTGACATTAAATTGCTCGCAGGAATAAACATTGGCTTGTAAGGCGAACAGTGTTTGCAGGTTGGTGAGGGAGGAGAGCCAGGCCAGTCCGTCCAGAGTGCCAGCGTGACTGATGTCACCATCCATAACAATAGCTCTGCGTGCACATGGGGCATGCAAGCAGCAACAGTGCACATGGGGCATGCAAGCAGCAACAGTGGATATGAAGGGTGCACGTGGTAGTACAGTGCAGTTAGTGGGACATGGGATGGGACCACATGGGGCAGCCACGCAGCCATGGGGATGCAGGGGTTAGGGGAAATAAGGATATTGTTATTTGGAATGAACGAGGACTTGACGAGTACGACTTTTGAGTCGACTCAAAAGTACTTGTACAAGCGATTGGTAATGAACGACGTGGGGAAAGGGTCAGAAAGGACAATGGTAGTTGTGGAAGGGAAGGGAAATGACTCCAGTCTTGAAAATTCGCGGGAGATACAATCAATTAAGCTGGAAAGAGCAGGATCAGGGGGTGCAGAGGAGTGAAGGAGGGTGCTGGAGGGGCACATTGGATAGGCAGGGCCTAAGTTGGAATATACGCGTTTAGCGTTTTGTACGCTTGCTGTATATACGCTAGCGTATATACGCAAACCGCAGTCCCTGAGGGGTCTGGTACGCCCAAGAATCCGCTTGCCCGGGCAGGAAAAAAGTTTTCCCCGGGCAGATTTTTGGGGTAAGAGGTGGGGATGGGGGGGTGTTGTAACCCCCATCCCCTTTGTATTAATATGAAAGTTACAGGAAAAAAAAACCCTTATGGCCAATCTGCCGCTACAACTTCACCCACCTTAATCATGCTCCCACTAGTACTCATCTGCCATCACATCATCCTCCCCCTCCTCAGGTTCCTCCACCTCCTCCGGGACGTTATAGCCAGCCGGAGTGGGGGGGTCCTCGATGTTTCCCTTCACCACCCCCAGCCCTTCAGGGGCCTTGTGCCAGTTGTGCACCACCTGCCAATTGTGCGTCACATACACCAGATCACGAAGCTTCACCGCGCCGAGGCGGTTCCTCCTTGCCGTATGCACTGCATCAAACTTCGCCCAGTTACGCTCACATGGAGACGCAGACACCGGCTGCGTGATGGCGCGGCAAGCCATGGTGGTGAGCTCAGGATGATCGGTCCCGTGCCATGTCCACCAGTCCACCGCCGTCATCTTGCCCTCCTTCACTGCCTGGCGGTCGGCAATAGCGTCGGGCATGCCGAAGCTGCCTTGGAGGTTCAGGAAGGCATTGAGGCCTTCCTGGATGACGAGAGAGGCGCGGCGCTCGACCCCGTCCTTCCTGGTGACCATCTTGTCACCATGGTGCTTGGAGACGTACTGCTTGAAGACCCTCGTGCACTCCAGGTCGGTGCGGAAAATGCACTCTTCCTGGTTGGTGGGGTAGAGGATGCGGCCAATCACATGCAGGTTGCACGCCAGCCCGTTGTCCCAGCGGTCCTGCACGATCTCCCGAATATCCCCCACCTCGTTGCTTGTCAGGACCCCTTCCGCATGCTCGTCGAGGAAGTCGCGGATGTCCTCGGTGAGCTGGAGCATGAGGTCGTAGAGACGACCCATCATGCCCTTCGAATCTGAGTCAGTCTTGCGCATGACGACGAATGGCAGCCTCATCAGCTTAGCGAAGAACTCGGCGCGCGTCCACCACGCGGCATCGAGGATGTTGTCTTTGAATGTGTCTGCCCCAGCCCTGTCTGCAGCCGCAGTCCACTCGGCCCACTCATCGCTGAGGACCATCTGCGTCAGGCCAGCGCGCACTTCACAGAGGCGGTTGATGGCGATGTAGTTGGTGCCGAATCGGGTTCCCGCGGGCTTGAGAACCTGTTTCCCCTTGCCGCCGTTCACGAGCGGACTCCGCATGTATCCCCGAGTGAAGTGATGGTTGCGGACGAACGAGATGAGGGTGTCCCCGCGCGTGACGATGTCCTTCGCCCATCCCTTTTTCCCGATGTCCTCCATCAGGAGATCGAGGACATGGGTCGCGCAAGGGATGTGTTCAATGTGGGGATACTCGCGCATCAACACCCTGCATGCCGCCGCGTAGTTGGAGCCGCCGTCAAAACACAAGGCGACGACATTCTCGGGGCCGACCTTTTCGATGATGGGCCGCAAGATGCCCGCGATGTAGCCCCCGGTCTTCATCTCCATCTTCGTGTCGATCGACTCCACAAACACCGCACCGCTATCGTTGATGAGGAGCACGTTGGCTTGCGGGCGGCCGGCCTTGTCGGAGAACATGTCGCTTGCCACGGTGACACCGTCACGGCGCCAGCTTGCTGAGATAGGAGCGAGCGCCGCCTCAATGCGCTGGCGACACTTCGCAAGACCGGCGCCACCGATGTAGCGTCTCTTCGGCGCGACGTAATTCGGCCCCGCGCGCTGGATGCTGGAGACCACATTCCGCCACAGTGGGTGGTCCGCGTGATGCTCCGGCACATGAAGAGCGGCAAAGAAGAGGCTTATGGCCTCGTCCGCAGCTTGGTTCGCGCACGCGGCGTCGTCGCCGTAGAAGTCGGACATCCGACTCTTCTTCTTGTTATCTCTGCCGTTGACTGCGCCGACCGCCGCAATTCCAGCCGCACGCTTCGCTTCACGGGCCTTCAACTTGGACTCGTAAAGCGCCTTCACGACGTCACGTGCAGTCTTCGGCGCTGCAGTGCAGAGATGCACTTCGCGACGGCGCATGCCGTTCCAGCTGGTGATATGCTGCGCGCAACGGTGAACCCCGCCAACAAACGTGAAGTTGCAGTAGGCACACACCTTGGTGCCGTTCTCGCCAACGCTATTGCCCGGCACCTTGAAGTGACGGTAGACTGCGTGCTTGCTGTCCATGCAGACCAAAGACGTACTAGAAGAGGTTCCACCAGCGGAACTACCAGGAGACTCTGAGGGTGCCGTACGAGAAGTGGTTGCTGTAGGAGTGGAAGCCATGGTGGCTTGGGAAAGGACATAGCTAGGAAGCGAGAGAATGAATGTCGAGGGAACAAACGCCTCTCTTTATGCCTCGGAGATTGGGTTGGGTTGAGCTCCCAACCAGTAAAGTAGCACTTGGAGGGGATGGTGGAATGCTGTGGTTCAAAGGGGTGTGAAACGTTTGAGGGGAGGGGTTGATGAGGTTTGGTGCTCGAAATTCAAAATTTGAGTTCATTTCGCGACAACTGCGACTCGGAAATGAGATCGCCACGTCGCGAGCTTCAGATTGAAATTTTGTTTTTTTTTTCGGTCTGCCCGAAATTCAACTCGGCGAATTTTCAAACTATACGCAACGTACGAATTCGACAAGCGTATAAACGCAAAACGCAAAATGAAAGTAGCGTATATTCCAACTTAGGGCAGGGCAGGGTCCAACATTCAGTTGACCTGGTATGGAACAATAGAAGAGCAGCACTCACAGGTGACTTTTGAGTCGACTCAAAAGTCAGGGCCTAGTCCAACATTCAGTTGACCTGGTTTGGAGCCACGGAAGAGCAATACTCACAGGTGCGTGAGGCCAGTGAGACTGGCAAGGGATGGAAGGGGCCCGAACAGATTAACGTTGGTCAGATCACTGCGGGATGGGATGGGAGCGCGAACAACAGTGGAGATGGCAAGAGGAGGATAAAATGGAGTTATCTCTTGCAATGAAGGCATGCATGCAGCTTGTGGTCCGGCTAGGCATGCAAGGGAGGCATGCAAGGGAGGCATGCAAGGGAGGCATGCAAACAAGGCATGCAAGGGAGGCATGCAAGGGAGGCATGCAAGGGAGGCATGCAAGGGAGGCATGCAAGGGAGGCATGCAAGGGAGCCATGCAAGGGAGGCATGCAAGGAAGGCATGCAAGGGCAGGAAGAGGGTATGGTCAGTAGGGTTGTGGCATGTGAATGCGAAAAACGAGATTGGCAGAGCAGTACGAGGTTGGGGCGAGGCCAAGGCAAATGACGGAAAGGAATGGTAGATGCAATGCAAGATGGATGTAGACTGTAGTGGAGAGAGAGAGGGGTGGGTGGGTGGGTGGTGGTGACGCACAGGAGTTGCAAAGTGGAAAGACCGGTGATGGAGGCAGGTATGGAGTAACTGTAAAATTCCCAATTAGGCCATATTAGCTTTGAATCCCTGCCAACACACAAATGCATGCACACACGCAATACCAACCAGCTCCCATTCCTCCCCCATCTCCCGCCCACCCCAGTTTCCTTCCCCAAATATCCAGTCCTCCCCCATCCCACCCCCCACATCCTTCAACCCATCCCCCCCTTTGTCCGGATTGCAATGCTCCCACACACACACAATCCAACACAATCGAGAGGAGCAGACAGCGGAAGGCGCGATACAGTGAAACACTGTGGGGGAAAGGAGGACAGAGGGGGCCAATGAGGAGTAACGACGGAGTACTGAGGGGGCATAAACGCCCGTGCCTTAGACTAGGTTGGCCAAAACGAGGGTTATTCAGCGCTACAACAGTCCCCTAACCCGTTGGTGTAAGACTGGAGGCATGACACCCGTGCTGCCCTGGAGTCAAACGTCCTCGTCAGATCAGGGGATCGCTTCCCAGGAACCTCGGAGTTGGGTTACCACAGTCGAATATTCGCTCCACCACATTTTCAGGCGAAAAACGTGGCTAGCTGGATTCGAACCCTTGGCTACGGATACCAATACAACGCCCGTGACATAGACCACGGCCTAACTGGGAGGCAATTACAGCAACGAGGCCAATTAGGACATGTTAATAAAGGGAGACACACAGCACCGAGCAGAAGTCTAGTGTAACGAGAACAGCGAGTGGCGGAACGATCCTCACAGGGCGGTGAGGAGCCCTTTGGGGCTGCATGTGACGCCCTCCCATGCAGAGCACGCCGTGGTGGCGTTGCTGTTGTTCGGCCAAATGCCCCACGCCGCATTCAGCTGCAGCAGCACCTTCACTGCCGGTACAGAGAATGCAATCGGGAGGGGAGAGGAGGGAGGGGAAGAGGGGGGGGGAGCACGTCGTGGTGGCGTTGCTGTTTCCCGCCCACACGCCCCACGCCGCCTTCAGCTGCAGCAGTGCCTTCACAACGTTGAAATGGGAGCACATTAACTGTAGCGAAAAAAAGCCGGGGGCCTTTGACAGCACATCTACCTCAGTGCCGGCACGTGCGCCTGGGCTGGGTCGGTGTGACGTCGCACTTTGAAGGGCGGCCCGCACTTTGACGTCGGATTCTCTCTGTAACGCGAGTGGGCCGGGCTAGTGTGGCTAGTGTTAAGGGCATTCCGCTGCACCAAAATAACACCCTCGTCTTGACCCAGTGGTTTAGCGAGGTGTTATACTCTCTCTGCTCATGAGAAGTGGAGCTCTGAGTGCGGATTCTGGACCACCAATCGAGTTGACTTTTGAGTCGACTCAAAAGTCAACTCTGAGTGCGGATTCTGGACCACCAATCGAAATGGGAGGATGATATCGCGTGAGGAAGCTCGCTGAGAGCCTCTGACTTCTGGACAACCGACTCACATTGCGAGCTTTCGAGAACGATTCCAACGCTCGCGTCGGCCGCGGCAGCGCTGCCGGTAGCGGCGAGCTTCAAAAGAGAGCGTTGGGCACGGCTGGGCTGAGCGCGAGACAGCAGGCGTTGTCTGGACGGAAGCCGCTGTGGGACATCTCGCCGCCGCGACGGTGGGCGATTAGTAGTAGTACTAGTACTAACGCTGGAAAGGGAGCAAGCAGCAGCGCCGATAGTGATCGTAAGGGCTGCGAGGAGGAGAACGCAAGCTCCGGCGTTACTGCAGCGGCGTGCGGCGGCACGCCTGGGAAAACGCCGCATTATGATATAAGCGGTGGCGTGCAGATTTAAAGTCGTATCGTCTGACAAAAGGAGAGTTTGGCAGGTCACGGCTTGGCAAACAAGGTAGGAGCTCGAGTGGTGGTGTAACACCTCGCTACCCACTGGGGCTCATGATGTTAATTCTTTCTAGCTCTGCTCACCGATAGAACACGCCTGCCAAACCAATGCCCTCACCTCACCTCACGTCACCTCACTCCAAATCGTGGTACAGTATGTTGATAGGAGCATCGTGGACAAAGAGTCGGCACGTCGAATCGCGTTGACCTAGTGAGTGACCTAGCAAGAGTCCTGTATGAGCGACTCAAAACGGTCCATTAGTTTCCTACTATGTTCAAGTTACAGTACTTTACTGGGTGGTAGATTGATAGACATTCCCACAATGTTACACACGATAAATAAGCACTTTGGATAATACGGTACTTCCAGAATCCTTTGTTATTATCTTCTCATATTTTCTAGTGCTACAGGGCACTCCACTTTTCTTGCCTTACAATTCCTAGTACCACAATGCATTTTCCAACCACCACTATTCCATAATGTAATGAAATTTCCTATATCGATACTGAACACATCATCATCGAGTACAAGACCAACCGTACTTCGCCCATTACTGGTAACGGTGGTTGGCCACCTTCTCCCACATCACTTTCACCAAACCACGCACTGCTGCACTCCGTGGAGTCAACCTACACTTCAAAAGACCTCGCTTCCAGCATTGCACAAAAGCTTGCTCGGCCGCACCGCGTTACCATTTGCTGTATTTTCTCATGCCTTTGAATACACGTACTTGTTTTTGCTTCCTTAGTGCAATCTTCACTCGCTCGCACATGTAACACGTGGTACGGTATACGGTATGAGCCACTTTCCTTCTCCACAGCCGTGGGTGGTCACTGGACAGAAACACTACGGCGTTGATTGAGGGACAGGAGCGGGGAGCCGCGAGTCTGCAATGGAATGCCAGAATACTTTCTTGCAAGCAGCCCACTGAACATTGCCAAGCCGTGTGGCAAGAGGTTTGCCCCATACGCAACCCAGGATGGCAGTGCCATCATTGTCAGTTTGTGATCAGCGTTGCCATCATCATCCTTATCAGTTGTTATCACATGTTCTGCCGTTGTGTTGTGCCCACCGCCACGGTCAGTTGTCTAGCACCAGAATCTCCGCGTCTTGCCCTCTGCACAAACACAGCAGCAGCAGCAGCAGCAGCAGTGCAAGGGACAGACAAAAAGAGTTAGCAGTGAAGAAGGGATGAGACGACATCAACAGCAAAGCACACACCTCCTGCCACACAGGCTTCAGCAACTTGCCAGGAGACACAATCACAACCACCCCTCTCCTCACCTTCCCCCGCCCCACCCACGGGACTCACAGAGCATGCGTGCGGATGAGCAGGTCCCCCTCTCTGCGCCGAGACACCCCCTCCTGTTGCTCCAAGCGCCGGCTCGGCTGTGTGCTGCCTCGCCGCAACACCCGCCCGCTGCCTGCTTCCCCTCTGCTGCACCCTTCGCTTCTTCTGCCACCTCCCCTCACTGCTGGTGTCATTGCCTGCTGCCCTGCCCTCATCCCCCTCTTCTGCCGTGTTTCAGTCCGTGACCGTCGCATGGGAGGTGGCACGAGAACCAATCCAACATCCTGTTTCACACAAACACCCATCTGCTCCAACTGCTCCCTCTGCTCCTGCTGCTCCCTTGCCTGCCTCTCCTGCCTTGTGTCAGTGCGGGACCGTCGCATGGGTGGCGCCGCTGCTGCTTCCATTCCCACATCTTGTTTCACACACGCACCCATCTGCTCCTGCTGCTCCCTCACGCGCCTCTCTTGCCTCGTGTCTGTGCGGGACCGTCGCATGGGAGGAGGTACAGGCGCTGGTGATATGACAGCATGCTCTCTCGCTCCTTGCATTGCCCCCACCCGCTCTCTCCCTCTCGCATCCGGCATCGCATCTGGACTCAACCCCAGCAACCGCCTTCCCATGCTCAAGCTCCTTCCCATCCCTCCTCTACCCCCCACACCAGGCCCAATGCTCACCACCCCTCTTTCC